TGCTATATGTGTACATGTGATGTAATTGTTGACACGCATGTATTTTAAAGGGAAAATGTGTATAAATAGTATTTTACAGGCAGTTTTTCAAATTGCTACACACACCCTGGAACCTTACAAACACTTAACAGCATTTTGTGCAAGTGTGCTTTACTTCCTGTAGTATATTAAACCACCTACAACACCTTAAGAGAATGGGGTAAATTCGTTGCATGTTCCTCCAGCATTCTACAAAAAAATTAAGGTCTGGGGTTTCTGCTGGGGGAAACTCTAGGGCAAAGAGCTTCAGGGTTTGCTGATTTTTGATTGTGCTTGGTTGTGGGTTTTTAAAATTTTTTTAAAGTAATTCATTTACCTGCACCATCAATGGAGAGCCAGATATCATCCTTTTTTCCAGTTGTAATTGATGTGTTACTTGGCCATATCAGCGCACAGCTGTCTGTGGCTCATTGGCTCAAAGTGGTCGTTTTGAGTCTTGTACACTGCTGATTCCAAAGGGGAGAAGAAAGCCACTGCAGTTCCACAGAGCCATTCAAATTCTTGGGCAAGGGATTGGTGTTGGCTGAGCAACCTGCAGGGAACTTCTTAACTTAACTGCTCGGCTGGTCCAGTGTCACTGTGTCACGGGGACTTGTTCCTTCTGCTGCTAAAAACAGTTGTAGGGCGGCTGTTTCTATTTCACTTCACTAGCCAGTGTCACTCCTTGAGGTGGTGTGAGTTCACATGAAGTCCTCCCAGGTGCTACTTGCTTAGAATCATTAAATCATTGTCTATTTTTACATTTTCACTCATTTAAAATTCTTCTGGGTAGGTGAACAACAAAACTGTTCATACTGTGTATCAACTCAACACGTATGCTGTACTGTAAGGTCTTAGGGTGGGTTTTATTTTATGTATGTTTTGTTCCCAGCAGGCATTTTTTACAGCTAAATATCAAAAGTCATTATTTAACATTTTTTATTTATAATTTTCTTTTGAACTTGATTTTACAGATTTTATTATTTAAAGTAGGAGGGGGTTTGTTGGATTTGGGTTCTTTTTTTTTAAATACCTTATGACCCTCTTACAGATGGCCTTGAAGACTGGCAGTCTCCTCTTGTCCTGTCACCCAACCCTTTTCAAGACCCCCTTCAAAATAAGTAGGATTGTTTCCCCTTCCCTGCAGCATATCTTGTTTCATGACTTAATTATTAGGCAGTTTCAACCATTCTCATGCTGGACTTCCCACTGCCTGATGGTTAATTGAACTATTAAGATGTCATTAGCTAATGATAAGATGGCAAATGTTCAAATTCCTTAGAAGACCTCTTCACCTATTGAACCTTCCAGATTGCATGAAGCGTGTTATAATCATGGAAGGGGTACAAACAAACTGAATTTCCCTGTTGGCTGTTCCGGTGTCAAGTGATAATCAGATGGTTTGGGGTGGTTACTCCGCCTCCAGCCTTTTGGAGACTCCACAGCAGGCATCACATGCAGACTCCTCTGGGCGTATCTTTCGGCCACCCTTACCCTTAGGGCTGGGGTAATTACTGCATCAGCCTTGGGTGAAAATCAAGGGAGTAACACAGAATGAAGTGCAGCTAGAGTAGATAAATGAAGTATCCATCAAGGGCATTCCACACTGTTGTGGCAGTCACATGTATTCCATATAATATAAATTATGCAGATTAAGGGTGCTTTATAAATTACAGTGTGGAACATAGTTGTCATTCTTTTAGGCCCTCCAGACACAAAGTGGAAGAAAAACAATTTCTGTTCTAAGAGGTCAAGATCATTTCACCATTTGTTATGCAGAAGTCCAACAATTGGTCTGTTCAGGATTTTAATATAACAAGAATTGAATTAGCATTTGAGAATTTTTAGTATTATTTTTCTTTTACAGTTCTAAAATGCATTATAAAATGTTGGTTTTCATGTGTGCATTTCATATGAACATTTCATCTTTGTGTCCATTCTGAATGAGGATTTTGGGTTTCCTTCTCATCGGAATTAAATGGCAGTGCGATCCTGGTAATTTTTAGAAGATAAGGTTGACATGTCTTTTTCAATTTAACAACTCTGAATAAAATTTATTGCATGAAAAACAAACTTCTGATAAACACAACTTTACTTGAGGACTGTAGTTCCCATGGCATGACATTTCCCATGTGAATGAAATCTGAATTCCACACAGATATAATGTGTTTCTTAAAGTGCATTTTAATTTCAGTTCTCTAAATCTCAATTCCTCAGAAGAGCTTGTGCCACTTCTGGAAAAACCCATACTTATCCAGGGATGCGGTCAGTAGTAAACAGAGTAGGTTAAAAGGAACATTTTAGTGACTGTGAGTAGTAATACCATGGTTTATCTGTGTTAGTAAACTATAACAGGGGAAAAAGTTCTGAAGAAAAAATAAATTGCATTTTAAATTTTGTAATATGGAACTCTTAGTGTAAATAGCCTCTCTTAGCAAAATTGGAGCACTTTTTTTTTTTTGGTCCAGCAAGCTTAAATCTCCATGTTGACTTGCTCAGTAGGATTGAAACAAAACATAGTATACTAGCAACTGGAAAATAGATGTTCACTGTCATTTCTGCACTATTACTTTGAGAAGAATAGTGAATGCTAGGCACACCTGATAACATGGTGCCCTTTTTGAGCAGGCAAATTATTATAGTATATACTTTCAAATATGTTGAACTTTTTGTCAGTATTTATGCATTTCAATATTTTGTTGGTGCTTTCCAGCTGCAAGCTGTTTGTTTTGGAAGGCATCAAACTTGATTATTCTTAGACAGAGAGTAAGATTAGAGTAGCTTTAGACAGGGATGTTGCTTTCTGATACTGCTCCACATCCAGTTGTGACTAATGAATGCAGTTTTTTCCCTACCATTTATGCGTTTTTAATTCCAACACGTTTGGATCTTGGTACATTTCCAGTGGAAGCTTGTTGTGCACATGGCAGCCTTTCCAAAAAATAGCGACATCTCACAGATTTCTCCCCTTTCACTACTCAATGTGGTTTGTCCAGATCATTAATGACAGAACATGATGCTCCTGCTTTGAGAGGGCCGTTCTACTAGAATTCATTTGTGGTCATTAGCATAAGATGCAGATAATGATATGGGCACTGTGGCACAGCTGAAGGTACCGAATTCTGGAAGAACTATTTAGAAGAGAAAAGGAGAGAGAGAAACTCTTGTGCTGGATTTGTTGATATTGTTTTACTACACTGTCATTATGTAAAAAAGTAGAAATAATCTTGGGAAGAAAGAATGAGAACCCAGTTTTCCCCCTTCTGAATCAGTGTCTTCAGTGTTCCCATCCAACTTCACATGGTGTTAAGGGGTAGGTCTTGTGGGACATGGGAACTGCTGTTATTTTTGCACCTGAAAGAGCGTTATGTACACATCTACATCTTTAGTATTCTGCCTGAAGGCTTAACATAACCAGATGGTATTTATCTGGCCATT